GGTGGGAGGTTGACTAGATCACCAGGGTGTTTTCTCATGAATGGTTTATTACCAGCCCCTTAGGGCTGTTCTCACAAGATCTAGTTGTTTAAAAGTGTATAGCACTTCCTTCCACCTCTCTCTCTTCCTCCTGCTCTAGCCACCTAGACATGCCTGCTTTCCCTTTGCCTCTCACCATGATAATAAGTTTCCTGAGGCCTCCCCAGAAGCTGCTATGCTTCCTGTACAGCCTGCAGAATCATGAACCAATTCAACCTTTTTTTAAAAAAAAATTACCCAGTCTCAGGTATTTCTTTACTGCAATGTGAAAATAGACTAATGCACAGGGATTCTAACAGGTATTTATACACCAAAATTCGCAGCAGTATTACTCACAACAGCCAAAAGGTGGAAGCAACCCAAATGTCCATTGAGGATGAATGGATAAAAAAAATGTGGTATGTACATACAATGGAATATTATTCAGTCTTAAAAAGGAATGAGATTCTGACATATGCTACAAGATGGATGAATTCTGAAGATATGCTAAGTAGTACAAGCCAGACACAAAAAAGTAAATATTATATTATTCCACTTACATATGAGGTACCTAGGGTAGTCACATTCATAGAGACAGAAAGTAGAATACTGGTGGCCAGTGGTTGGGTAGAGAAAGAGAAACAAAGAGTTATTGTTCATATATATATATATATATATTTTTTTTTTTTTTCTTTTTATAGACGGAGTTTCACCATGTTGGTCAGGCTGGTCTTGAACTCCTGACCTCAGGTGATCCACCTGCCTTGGACTCCAAAGTGCTTGGATTACAGGAGTTATTGTTTAATAGGTGCAGAGCTTCAGTATGGGAAGATTAAAAAGTTCCCGGGACAGATGGTGGTGATGGTTGCACGGCAATGTGAATGTACTTAATGCCATGGATCCATACACTTAAAAATGGTTAAAATGATAAATTTTCTGTTATATATAGTTTACCACAATATATTTTTTTTGAGATAGTCTCACTCTGTTGCCCAAGCTGGAGTGCAGTGGCATGATCTCAGTTCACTGCAACCTCCACCTACCAGGTTCAAGCAATTCTCCTGCCTCAGCCTCCCGAGTAGCTGGGATTATAGCACACGCCACCATGCCTGGCTAAATTTTGTATTTTTAGTAAGACAAAAATATAGGGTTTCACTATCTTGGCTAGGCTGATCTTGAATTCCTGACCTCGAGATCCACCCCTCCTAGGCCTCCCAAAGTACTGGGATTACAGGTGTGAGCCATTGCGCCTGGCCAATTTTTTTTTTTTTTTTTTTTTTGAGACAGAGTTTCGCTCGTTACCCAGGCTGGAGTGCATTGGCATGATCTCGGTTCACCGCAACCTCCGCCTCCTGAGTTCAGGCAATTCTCCTGCCTCAGCCTCCTGAGTAGCTGGGATTACAAGCACGCGCCACCATGCCCAGCTAATTTTTTTTTTTTTTTGTATTTTTAGTAGAGACGGGGTTTCATCATGTTGACCAGGATGGTCTCGATCTCTTGACCTCGTGATCCACCCGCCTTGGCCTCCCAAAGTGCAATTTTTTTTTTAAAGTAAACAAAAGGTCAGGCGTGGTGGCTCATGCTATAATCCCAACACTTTAGAAGGCCAAGGTGGGTGGATGGCTTGAGCCCAGGAGTTGGCAACCAGCCTGGGCAACACAGAAAAATCCTGATTCTACAAAAATATACAAAAGTTAACTGGATGTGGTCAAACAATTAGCCATGAGGGTACCACTGCACTCCAGCCTGGGCAACAGAGTGAGATCCTTTCTGGGCGTGTGGCAGGGAGGCGGTGCAGGCTAGGGGAACGGAGAGTAAACAAACTAGCCAACACCAGCTACTCAGGAAGCTGAGGGAGATCATTTAAGCCCAGGAGTTTGAGGCCATAGCAAGATCCTGTCTCTAAAAAATAAATAAATAAATAACCAAGAACAACTGTCAAACATTTGTGGCAAAAACATAAGGAGAAAAGCAAAAGACTCTGTAACAGGCAAGCTTCACTATAATCCTTCAGAGTCTAGATGATTTTGTTGAAAGTGAAGATCCCAGAAGAGAAGGGATGGACATTCTATTTTTATTTTGCTGCAAATATACACTAAGCAACTAAGGAAGCTGAATTATATTCTACAGGTCATTTGATAACATAATGAATGAACTGTAGTTCCTAACAATTACATCCAAAAAAATACAAGCTTTTCTTTCCAGTTTCCAATCAAAGTAGCAAGACTGAAATAATCAGTTATACACATAACAGAGAAGCCAGGTAGATCTGAAAGAGTCACTTTCAGTTTCCAGCTTTAATATGGTGATCCTACAATGGGAAACTGCAAGCAGCAATTTTTACAATAGTGTATACAAACTTTCTTCACTGCCATTATAAAGTGACTGCGTAAGTTACTTTTAACCCTTCTGAGCCTCATCTGAAAAATGAGGATAATACTTACAAGTAACTGATAAGATAATAATGTACACTGAGTTCAGTGCCTGGAATACATAAATGCTCAACAAATGAAAATTCCCTTCCATCTTAGCCTGATCAGCCTCCAGGGGCTACTCTCATGTTTTGGCCATAACCTGTGGCTCCTCCCTCACGCCCCAGCTGTTTCCCTCAGTTCTAGCTGTTTCACTCCTGGTTTTTAAGAGGATCCTCCTATCTAAGTTTAGAGGTAATGCTGGTACCAATTGTGGGCTCAACAGGTGCCTGGAGGGCACCTGAGTACTGAGCAGTTTTCAATTGTTTCCCAGAGTTAATTGGTTTTGGCTCCACAACTGGCTGTCTTGACTTCTGCAAGTAATAGTGCCACGTATACACAGTACATCAGCAGTACAAGACTAAACGGAAAACTAAGTGTGCTCACAGGACAAATCTTAGCAAATGTTTTTAGTCCTATTTATCAGGACCCCAGAGCTTTGTTAAATCAAAGGAGCAGTAAACCTTCAATGAAATCTACAGATGTAGCCTACTAACTTAATCTTCATCTATAGCACAGTTACCAGACCCAAGTTTCAACCCATTCCTGCTGCTTTACTACGATCAAGACGGGGGTGAAGCAAAAAGGGCAACCAGGCAGTTAAGATTTTAAAAAGCCATCCGATAGAGCTGGGACTGACTCAAGCTTTGTTCTTCACTAGCTCTGTGACCTTAGTAAATTATTTAAACTCTTAATTTACAAAATATGAAATAATTGTGAGGGTTAAATAAGATAATACATGCAAAAAAAAAAAAAAAAAAAAAAGAGGCATATTAGGCAGAGCTCTGTGGCTCACGAATGTAATCCCAGCACTTTGGGAGGCTGAGGCGGGTGGATTACCAGGTCAGGAGTTTGAAACCAGGCTTGCCAAGATGGTGAAACCCCGTCCCTACTTCAAATACAAAAATTAGGCAGGCACGGTGGCAGGTGCCTGTAATCCCAGCTAGTCGCGTGAGTGGAGTCACCTGAACCTGGGAGGCGGAGGTTGCAGTGAGAAGAGATCGCACCACTGCACTCTAGCCTGGACAACAGAGCAAGACTTCGTTTCAGAAAAAAACAGAGACACATTGTCACTAATGAGAACACTGCATTCACTTCTTGCTTTGTTCAATTTCCATAACATCTAAGAAAAGTGACAATTTAGATCGTTTTTGGACTTTTTTTTTATTCCTGAACATTTCTTGAATTAATTGGACCTTTATAAAGTAACCTAAATGCTACCATCCAAGACCTAGCTGAGAAATATAAAGTGATGAATGTCCAGAAATCTTAGATGAGTCAGCAAAACTTAATGCCCAACAAATAAATGGCTTAACATAGACTATTTATGAGCACAGAATGGCAATTACAATTTCAAAATCAGCAGTTTTCTATCTAGTACCATTACAAATTTGGTCTGGAAATCCAAGTACCAAGGAAACTTAAAGATCATAATCCCAAAGATACTTTTCCACAATATTCCCAAACCACCTTAATTCAAACTGGAAGGTGTGAAGTAGCCTGATTATTTGAAGTTAATATCAAGAAATAATTTAAGGCAGAACCCCAACTCTCTCCCACAAACATAAAACCAGTAGCAATTCTAACAAAGTACAGATAACTTTATCCATCACCTTTTGGTCAAACTGAAAACAAACAAGCAATCTTCTGGTTCTCTCCAAAACACTGAACCCTGCATTATGATTGACCTAACTCAAAGCAAGATATTTTTGATGATCTGTCCTCTCCTGCTTCATTAACCATAGGTAAATTACGTACAGCAGCCTGCTAAACAGAGGGGAGGTAAATATTATAGGCATATTTTATCGGTAAAATGGACAAGTGATAATCAAATTATTTAAAGAACGGCTTGTACTCCTTAGCAGAGGGACAAGCTTGAGAAAGATCCACTTTCTAAAGGAACCCAATCATTCTGGATGATTAGGAGAAAGCACTCTAGTCCCAAACGGACTGAATCTACCTTTCTGCTTTAATCCAAGTCCAAACCACATCTATATTATGTCTCTGCCTCTCTTCGCCTTATTTTCCATTCCGTCTCCCCCTTCAATTCCAAGAACGCCCTTCTAGCCCTTATTTTCAAATCTCTTTATTGCCCCCGACTTCTAAGGACCTCGGACACCCACGGAGGTGACCTTACGCATCCCCACTGCATTCTCAATTCATTGTACTTCTCGTCCCAAATGATCCTATTCTTTCCTTCTTTTCTATCTTGCTTGTTATTTCTTAAAATCCAATACCCCACACACCCTCACGCCAGAGTCCCCCCCTCCACACACACACTCCATTGTTTCCCCGGCCTATCCCTCTGGAAACTCCCCAACTCGGACGCGGGTGTCTCGTCCGCCCCACATACCCCAGGAACCTTCCACCCTCCCGGCCACTCCGGGCCTCTAACGGCCCCCGTCCCCAACAATTGCCCCCTCCCCCTTTTTCCTCCCTCAACCCGCTCCTCGCACCTCGGCCCCTCTCTAAGCCCCCGCCAACCCCTCCACCCAGCACCCCCAGCCTCACCTAGCCCAGGCCCCCGCAATCTCCTCGTCGCCCCAGCTCCGGGCTCCGCGTCCCGGACGCTCCCGGGTCTGAGAAGAGGAGAGGAGCTCCTCCGCCTCCTTCACCTCCGCTTCTAGAGCCGCCGCCGTCGCCACCGCGCTCCTCCCACCGCTCGCTCAGAGCCGGACGCCGCCCCGCCCCCACCGCCGCCTCCCCGCTTCTCTCCTGCGCCGGAGGACAGTCCCGGAATCGCAGCCGCGACGGCTGCCTGAGCGCCAGCGGATCACCCCGACCGTCGCCCGGGCAGCGACTCGCCCCGCCCCGGAGCCCCCTCGGGCGCGTGCGCATCAGCCAGCCAGCCAGAGCACAGGGCGCGTACTCGCGCCGGCGCGCCAAGCTAGAGGTTGCTGCAGCCAACCGGTGCACGAGCGCGGTCGAGGCGGTCCGCGCGCCGGAGACTGAGTGGAGCTGTAAGAGGCCCGGGGCGCCTACAGCGAAAGGCGGCCTCCGGCTGGTCGGGTTACCGCTCGTCTCGGGGCCCAGTCCCTCGTGTCTCGCACCGTCCGCAGGCTCGCGCGCCACCGGAGACTGGGAATTACCGGGGAAGGGAAGAGACTCAGGGAGCGGGTCGGGGCCAGACTAGATGTGATGGGAAAACGGCTAGGACTCAAGCTCGCGTCCGCGTGCAGAACGACTCGTACCCGGCGGCATCGGGTAGGCGCCTGGCGCGCGCCGGGAATAGGGGGCCCGAGCTGAACTGACGGAAAGAGCCGAAACTCCCCCGGAGGTGGCCGAACGCGGGCGCGGCGAGGGGAGCCGAGCGCGCGGCTTTTGCTCAGTCTCCTGGTGCGGACGCTGTCTCTCTCGGGCCGCCGGCTACGGCGCGGCTCCCTGGCGCACAACGCTTTCCGCTTCGCCTCCTTCCCAACCCAAGTTTTGTTCCAAAAGGCAATTTCAGAACCGCCAGCGGCGAGAAACGCCGGGGCTTCCTGACCGCGCGATCGCTCAGCCTCCTGGGAGCGCGCGGAGGCCGGTGGAGGCGTGGGAAGAATAATTTCGGGAGCTGACAGGGGTTCTCTGCCCTGGCCATGTCCGCCCCGTAAGCTCCCCAAGTCAGTTCATTGTCAGTCTGGTTTCTGATCTACCCAGCTGTCAGCATAGCCCCTCTACTCGGCTGTGGTCGGACCTGCAGCCTTTCAAATCTTTCTGTTAAATACTCTGTCTTCGATCCCAGACTTCCAACTTCCCCGGTGGTGAAACTAGTATTTGTGCACCTTTCGACTTACTGTTCTGCATATGTGAGGCACTCACCTCACTGTCGACTGGTCAAAGTTCTATTAAGAGGGGCTAGAGGGATTTAGACAAGAATCATTGGAAAGCTGTATTAGAATCTGGGACCTGGAGCAGTGGCTCGCTCCTGTAATCCTGGCACTTTGGGAGGCCGAGGCAGGCGGATCACTTCAGGTCAGGAGTTCAAGAGCAGCCTAGCTAACATAGTGAAACCCCGTTTCTACTAAAAATGCAAAAATTAGCCGGGCATGGTGGCACACGCCTGTAATCCCAGCTGCTCGGGAGGCTGATGCAGGAGAATCGTTTGAACCCAGGAGGCGGAGGTTGCAGGGAGTGGGGATTGCACCACTGCATTCCAGCCTCCGTCTTTAAAAAAAAAAAAAAAAAAAAAAAAAAAAAAACGATTTATTAGAATCTGTCCCCATCTTGCCGGGCGCGGTGGCTCAAGCCTGTAATCCCAGCACTTTGGGAGGCCGAGGCGGGTGGATCACGAGGTCAAGAGATCGAGACCATCCTGGTCAACATGGTGAAACCCCGTCTCTACTAAAAATACAAAAAATTAGCTGGGCATGGTGGCGCTTGCCTGTAATCCCAGCTACTCAGGAGGCTGAGGCAGGAGAATTGCTTGAACCCAGGAGGCGGAGGTTGCGGTGAGCCGAGATCGTGCCATTGCACTCCAGCCTGGGTAACAAGAGTGAAACTCCGTCTCAAAAAAAAAAAAAAAAAAAAAAAAAAAAAAGAATCTGTCCCCATCTTAACTTTTGAGGCCAAGCAAAGGGGCTCTGAAAAGCCACCAACAAGCTGGAGAGTGTGTCAGTGTATAGCTAGACACCATAGGCATATGTCGTTTGTTTTCCACGTATGTTATTGCAACCACAGTACATGTAACTGAGTAGTATAGTAGAGCTCTGCCAAGCCATGCGATCCTTGTGATTTTTACCTTTGCGCGAAGTAGGGGATCAAAAATCCCCTGGAGCCCACTGACCGTTGGTTAATGATGTCTCATCTACTCCAACCATACGATTTACCAATCTAGTTAAGCAGAAGACTAAGTCATCTAGCTAGGAAGGTCACTGGACTATGTGTTCCTTACTATTGCATCTTCATTCAAAAATTAAAATAGAAGCAAACTCGCCGGGCGCGGTGGCTCACGCCTGTAATCCCAGCACTTTGGGAGGCCGAGGCGGGTGGATCACGAGGTCAAGAGATTGAGACCATCCTGGTCAACATGGTGAAACCCCGTCTCTACTAAAAATACAAAAAATTAGCTGGGCATGGTGGCGATTGCCTGTAATCCCAGCTACTCAGGAGGCTGAGACAGGAGAATTGCCTGAACCCAGGAGGCGGAGGTTGCGGTGAGCCGAGATTGCGCCATTGCACTCCAGCCTGGGTAACAAGAGCGAAACTCTGTCTCAAAAAAGAATGGCTTGAACCAGGGAGGCAGAGGCTGCAGTGAGCCAAGATCACACCCCTGCACTCCAGGCTGGGCTACAGAGCAAGACTCTGCTTCAAAAAAAAAAAAAAGAAAAGAAAATAGAAGCAAACTATCCACTGGGTGCAGTGGCTCAGGCTTGTAATTCCAGCACTTTGGGAGACTGAGGTGAGCGGATCACAAGGTCAGGAGATGGAGACGATTCTGGCCAACATGGTGAAACCCCATCTCTACTAAAAATACAAAAATTAGCAAGCATGGTGGTGCACGCCTGTAGTGGTAGTTGGGAGGCTGAGGCAGGAGAATCTCGCTTGAACCCAGGAGACAGAGGTTGCACCACTGTCACACCACTGCACTCCAGCCTGGTGACAGAGCAAGACTCCATCTCAAAAATAAAAATAAAAAAAGCAGCAGCAGCAATCTATCCAAATATCTGCTTTCTCTTCATTCACTAATTGGCACCTACTCAATGATGGTGGGTATTTTTCTAGGTATTGGGTCATTTACAAAGAAGAATAAAGTAATATCATTACCCCAAGGAAAGTATACAGTTGCAAAGGAGCATAAAGTTATTAAATAGGCCAGTTGCAGCAGCTCATGCCCATAATCCCAACACTTTTAGAGGCCCAAGTGGGAGGACTGCTTGAGCCCAGGAGTTTTAAGACCAGCCTGGGCAACATAGCAAGAGCCCCATCTCTACAAACAACAAATTTAAGTTATTAAATAACTATAATAACATAGTAAGTATTAAAGCAGAAAAGCACAAAGTGGTTTAGGAACAGAAAGGAATGAGTGACTAATTCTTCCACAATTCTCCTTCCCACATAGAGTAGGAATAGGATGATATGACCATGGTTAATAGATAACTTCATCATGAGGTGTAGGATTTGAGCCCTGTATCCTATTCCACGAAGACTGGTTTCACCCACCAAAAGTCACTCTGTTCAGGAAATGCCTTCATTATAGGGCCTGTTACTGCTGCAAAGCCAGTACAAGTTTTTTTTGGATGGCAAAGTCCCCATTCTTGGCTAGGTTCAGTGGCTCACGCCTGTAAACCCAACACTTTGAGAGGCTGAGGTGTATCACTTGAGCCCAGGAATTTGAGATCAGCCCGGACAACATAGGGAGACCCTGTCTCTACAAAAAATAAAAGTAAATTAGCTGACTGTGGTGGCTTGTGCCTGTTGTCCAGCTGCCCAGGAGGCTGAGGTGAGAGATCCGTGGAGCCTAGGAGATCCAGGCTGAAGTGAGCTGTGATTACACTACTGCACTCCAGCCTGGGCAACAGAGTGAGACCTTGTCAAAAAAAGTTCCCATTCTTGGCCGGGCGCGGTGGCTCAAGCCTGTAATCCCAGCACTTTGGGAGGCCGAGACGAGTGGATCACAAGGTCAAGAGATCCTGGTCAACATGGTGAAACCCCGTCTCTACTAAAAATACAAAAAAAAGTAGCTGGGCATGGTGGTGCGTGCCTGTAATCCCAGCTACTCAGGAGGCTAAGGCAGGAGAATTGCCTGAACCCAGGAGGCGGAGGTTGCGGTGAGCTGAGATTGCGCCATTGCACTCCAGCCTGGGTAACAAGAGTGAAACTCCATCTCAAAAAAAAAAAAAAAGAAATAAAAAGTTCCCATTCTTGATAATGTTATACAGTACTCTGTTTTGGATAAGACATGATCTCCCAAGAGATTGCCTGATCTAATAGGAGAGACTGTTTCTCATTTGTTTTGGAGACAGGGTCGCCCTCTGTTGCCCAGGCTTGAGTATAGTGGCACCATCATAGCAAATAACCACATTTCTGAAATGTTTGCTGTAGATCTTAAGGGTTAAAAAAGAAAGAGGTCATTTTGAAATAAAATCCATTAGTCTCTGTTCAGCCTTACAAAATTAATTTATCCCAGGTTACTTAATGATCAAGTGCCAGAACTAGAATTAGAGAGAAATCATGACATAAGCTTTACCTTAGCAGATATATTCTGCAGGTATTAACCTGACCTAATTTGATATGTTTTCAAATAGATCCTTGACTTCAGAACTTTAATGTTTTTGTTTGATATGAATTGATAGTTTGTATCTTAAGTGATTGATTGCCAGATTCCATGTTCTTATTCGGAAGAAAAAGAGGCCAACTATAGCCTGAGAGGCACAGAAATTTAACTATCTTGGAGACTTGATAACCAATGACTGTAATTAAGAAACATAATATTTTAAAGTCTCCATTGACTGAAGCTGCAAGTGACAATAGGCACAAAAACCAGTAGAGAACAGCTCATAAGATTGTACTTTTCCTTTTGCCTATGCTAACCCTAGTACCTAAGAATATTCATGTTGGTAGTCCAAACTGTGTCTCAGAAAATTTGTTTCATGGTTTACTAAGTAGATGTTATTTGAGAAAACTATTCCATGTCCAAATAAGTTAGGGAAGCACTGGTTAAAATCAAGTTAAACTGGTTTATTTACTTCACAGAATATTTAATATGGTACTATGCTTTGTTCATATTGAAGTGAGCAGGCTATATATAGTGTGCAGCTTTCACCAAGGAAGCTCTTCCCACTCCCATCCCCATCCCCAAGACTTTTTTGCAGGATTGA